GACTAGAGAAAACCACAGAAACCATAAAATTCCATTAGAATAAATACCATGGATTATAAAAAATGAAAGTTTCCTAATTATCCCATGCCAGCAAAGGTAAAAAACCATATGGGAATCTCAAGTAAAAGAGCATGATGCTGTGAAGTATAATTACCAGTGCCATCATTTTAATAATCCTGACACCACGGTGGCTCAGTCAATATAGTGACTGACTACGGACTGGACAACGGGTTCGATCCCCAAGAGGGTGAGAGGATTCTTCCTCTAGCTTCTGCAACCAGGCCAGCTTCGGCGCCCATCCGGCCTCCTGTCCAATGGGTACTAGGGTCATTTCTCAGGGGGTAAAGTGCAGCCAGGGCATGAAGCTGACTGACCACTCACCTCTATTTAGTGCCAAGGCAAAGAATGAGTAGGAGCTATGCAACCTCTCCCCCCAAAGCACCTACACTGATTTAGGACTTGAGAAAAAAAAAGCATCAGTATGAGAAAGTCATCTCTTCACAAACGCAAAACATCTGCTCTTCCTTTTTGAGTTTTGTCTGTAGGAAATGTAGGAGAACTTCCAGAACCGAGCCCCTCTCAATGTGGTCGAACTACTGTGAAGAAATCCTATATTCCAAGACTGTCAAAGAGCAGAGCTCTGTCATCCTTGCCAAGTAAGGATGCTGCAAAACCTATCTCAAATACAGGTCCCTTGAGGCGCAGTTGGAGTAATTCCAACACACATCAGTTTGAAGTAGGAACTTCCATATCTGCTATGAACTTGAAGATCAGTGTTCCTGGAACTGCCCAGTCATCTAGGGTCGGTGGCCGATCCACTAAGCCAGTATTAAAGGATCCCAGGCCTCTGTCTGACAAACGATTCCAAAATGGGGCATTCCAGAGGATCCAGAATTATTTTCATCAAATTGATGACACAGATTTGAAGATGACCACTTCAAAGGCCTTAACCAGGCGTTCGCTTACAATAAAGGTGTTCGTGAAGTTTGTACATCATTTGCTGTCTCACTTTTTCAAGAAACACAACAGCTTTACTTACACAAAAAGACAAACACATAATGCAATTTTATTTCAGTTTTTGGTATATTTTAATTTCTTCTACTATGCTTTGTACTTTCACTCTTTAACTTATATCAACATTTCTTCCGTGGTCTAATTTTTTATATCCTAGCAATGGCCTTAAGAATCTCTATCTGTGTGCTTCCAAACATTATCTCCGTTATTTAACGTCTATGTCTCACTTTCATAATTGAGATCCGTTTTCACTATGTTGTATATTCTTGGTTTCGTTTGATTAGACATTTGTTTAACAAAATTTCTTTCTGGTGTAATATTTTTTTTCAAATGTGCAAAAAGCTTTCCAACTGATAAAACCTTATTATAAACTATAGCAGTAAATAGAAAAAGTACTGCATGCAGGAAGATGTCTTGCTTCATAAGATTTTTTTAACTCTGCTATAGGCTGAAAGTCCTATTTCATTTAACTTTCAGCTGTTAAGCTGTGAACCACTTCAAGCTCTGTTGTTAAAAATATCTACATACTGCAATTTGGCAAGTTAACTTGCCAATTTCCAGTCTCATTTGTCATTACATATACAACAGAATCATCAGTATCACATGTACAAACACCACAGAAAAACAACTGACTTTAATAAACTGTTCATGCTAGACAAACACACCGTTTAAACACTTGGTTTCTGATACAGTGGCTGTTACTTCAATGACTTAATCTTTTTTTTTTCAGTAAGAAGAGAATGAAACAAAACTTTACCACAATGTATGAAGTAATAAAAGGTAGTAACCCACTGATGTAAAGACAACTCAACAACATTTCAAGTGATTCAATTGGCTATTAAATGTGTCATAAAAGCCCCTGCATTCAAGATTATGCTTGTTCCTTATAGTACAGTGCCACATAGCATGACTGCCTTGTCCCATATGTAGAAATAAATAATGAACAGCTTTCAAATGAGTAGACACACAAATTAGTAAGGTCATTCAATGCACTTTTATGGAAGACAATACCCGCATTAAGAGCTTTGTAAAATAAGCCATAGCAAAACATAAAAGCAAGGCCAATGTTTTCAATACTTTCTCGGAATATCTTGCAGTCTGCATGCTTGTTTCAGTGAAAAAGGAGGGTAGTACTGAGATATCAATCACTTAAGAGACTAGCGTTCCCTCAATGAGATGACCAGAATTACATATAGTCTATGTGCAATGCTTATGTTACCATTGGTAAACTTACATTCTTCTTTTGAGTACAGCAGTTCTCTTGAGACACCTAACAGATCTTTTAAATTTAACTCTAAATACTGTAATATTAATAAAATGGCAAACTTTTATAATTTATAACATATCACTTTCAAAATAATCATGATCACATTACATGATCATTTGAATGTGACTGCAGCCTTTCTGTTTTAGTCGTGAGCATACACAATGCTGTCGGGTCCAATTTGACAATGTAATTTTGAAAAGCACTTCCCACTTAACCAGATTCATACTGCACGTGTATATGGTAAGCCATTCATTCTAAAATCACAAAATAATACATATAAAGTAGTTACTAATAAAATGTCTTAATCACAACTACATATTCAGCTATCTGCCAGGCTTTGTTGTAACAAACTGCAGGATTCCAAGTGCCAAAAATTGTGTGATCGGAAGTGTTTTTTACGCTAATTAATAGCCAAGGCAAAATACTGAGGTATAGTGTGTACCTTTCGTGATTACTGATACAAGATGGTGGCCCATTTTCCTTCAATACTGTATAAATGTTGTAAATACCATTCAAACACAGGCTCGCAGCAGAAGTCTTCTTCAAAATCAAAAGCCCAACACTGACAGCGTGCAGTAGGAATTAAGAGATTAAATATGAAAAGTCAGAAAATCTCAAGAACAAGAAATGTTAATTACGAGAATGTAAATTCAAGGGGCAGCAGAACAATTGAATACTGCAATATACCACTCACACTTACACTTTGTCAAAGTACAGTACAAGATAAAACGGGTATAATTTTTAAAAGTATCTATTTACATGAACCACAATGGTGAATAGTATTTCCAACTTTTTGCAAATTAAGTGGCATTATTACCAGGTACAACCC